CACTCCTCGCGCTGCCCATCTCCCCTTCGCTGTCCAGCCCTTCATTTACAGCCCCAAAGCTGTCCAAGACAGCATTCGAATGCTCAAAACCAGCCTTCAAGTTCTCCAAAATGGTGCCTACTTCCTCCCTTTCTTCAACCTCCACCACTCCCTCTTGAATCGACGTTGTTTACTTGAGAAGCTCAACTAGCAAAGAATAAATCACATTCTTGAAAGGATTCAAGGAGAACACACTTTGGCTTCAACAAAATGGATNCCCAAAGCTTCCTTACTACTTGCAATGTCTAGCCCAACGCCTGGAAGTGTGTCTGACTGCCGTTGCTCGTCAAAACAAAGTTGCCCAGTAGCTTGAAGGGTGCCTGACTCTTCAAAATTACGCAAAACAGAATTTTTGACGCAAAAATCAGCACTTAAGGCGCCCAAATCAGCGCCTCGAGTGGGAATCGGATTAGCCTGTGCTCCCAGGCCATTGCCTAGCTCTCCCTGATGAACCTTGGACTGATTTTCAGCGCCCCTTGATGAAAAAATGCTACTGTCCAGCATTTCAAAGCCGCCCAGCGCAGCAGAACTGAAGCTTTTCAGCGCAGCTGAGCTGTCCGGGACAGCTCAGCTGCAGCCAGGCTGCTGTCCNAATGGGTAACATGAAGAAGAAGATTATATTTATAGTCTAGGGTTTTTCAAAAAGAGGAAAAAAACCCAAATATAAAATTATGGGCCCTTTTCAAAATAAAAAGTCCAAATAGAATATTATGGGCCCTCTTCAAAATAAAGTGGGAAAGACTTGAAGTTTAAAAAAAAAAAAAAATAATAATAATATAGTCAATGCCTCATTCTCCAAGTCTCATTGGACATGGGGCATTGGGGGACAAATGATGAGTTAAGCCCAAATAGTTCAATTTATGTGTTAAAGTCCAACCCCAGTTGAAGAGCCCAACCTCATTTTGAATCCACCAAGCCCAAAACAGTTCAAGACCGGTTAGACTTTTTGCTTAGCACGTCATCAAGAGGAGAGCATGGGAAGCTTATCTGCACCACCGAAGGAAACTGTCCAATTTTTGACTGCGTTTCATGAAAAGCTCCCCAACCTCCTTCTTCCGTTGAGGATAAGTCGTGATCTCCACCAAAATGATCTTTTAGTGCTATAAAGTAGCCTTGAAGATAAGTCATGATCTCCACCAGAATGATCTCTTAACTGTGATAAAGTAACCTTGAGGATAAGTCATGATCTCCACAAGAATGATCTCTTAACTGCTATAAAGTAGTCCCAATCTGTTAGGAGACTACTATAAATGGCACGCCCCACCAACACTTACAGAGGACAGACCGACGACCAGAGACCACTGCTTCTTTGATTCTCCATTCTCTCAAAGCTTGTATCTCTATTCTCCATACCTTTGAATTAATAAAATACCCGGCAACTGAAGCCATTGAAGAGTGGACGTAGGTCGAATTGACCGAACCACTATAAATCGTGTCTTCTTTAATTTTCTCATTAATTTCACTGCATTTATTACCTACACTTAATAAGTGGTGTATAAAATCATTTTTGTACACCATCAGATTCCACTAGAAAACAACGATTTGTATGTGGATGTGTTACGCAAGTCCTTGATATTCGATAGTATTTGGTTGGTAAAAGAGAAACGGTGGGAGTGTATAAGAATTCAATGCCTCCAAAGTCCTTTGCGCCTTAATTTCCTATGTTCTTGCTGGAAGATTCTTATATTTACCCTTTCATACCCTAATTTTTTTCAAGTTTTCAATCTTACCCTGAATCAAATATAAAGTTAGCAATGTGGTTTGTTATTACAAAATTGAGTATAAATTTTTCATCTAAAATATGCATAATTATATAGAAAAATAGAAAAATAAAAAAATCTCAACCAAAAAAATGTTGAATAAAGAAACGGATGTGTGATTTTGGACCATATATATTATCTTGTTATTTGGTTAAGGATATAATATGAGAAATTTAATCTTTATGGTGTAAAATAAAAACTTGAAGATATTTTAAAGTGCAAAGTATGGTTCGTCTATCTTTTTTTAAAAATAAAATATATTTTTTCTAATGTTAATAAAAAGACTTGTATGCATTGAGTATGAATTTTGTATCGAGCCACAATCCAATTGTATGTGATATTGTCCATTTCAAGTGTCCTCTCACAACTTTAAACTCATCATAATCATTCTAGACATACTATTAGTTGCATAGTCCAATAACCTTCTTTAACAAGACACCGTAAAAAAATACATATGTCAGACATCTCACCAACCTTCTCATTTCAACCCTCTTGGACTTTTATGCGATTGTGTTTCGGCCATCACAACAGTTTTTTTCGTGAATAAATTGGTTTTATTCAAGGACAAAGTTATCACCGACACAAATTCTTTAGAGAAAAATGCCAAAAATAAGGATTAGTTTGAATAAAGAAAGCCTAAGTAAATCATTAATATCACATTATCATTGATATGTGCTATCACCAACTGCTCTGTAACAACTAGACATCACAAACTACACTGTTGTTTGTTGACAACTTGACATTACTCTGGCCTTCAAACACATTATGGGTTTCGACCTCCGGATCCAAAAATGGGCAGGCCACTTGCACCATCTGACCCATAGATATGCACAATTTGACCCATATCTATATAATAAAAAAAGAGTGTATTTGAATTTTGTCCCAGTTATATTTTGCCCCTCAAAATATCACCAATCACTTATTTCACCAATTATCATTTTATCAAACTCAAACGTCAAATCGCATAACTTATTTATATCATATGTTTAATCATTTATATATTTCTTTCCTAAAAATATCACATCACTCATTTCTATTATATATTTAATCATTTAATATTTGATTAATTTGTAGTTGATATATTTTGAAAAAAATTAATATAATGAGATCGATTTTTTGGACACTTGAATTTTATATTTTATCGTGTCTTCAAGCACGGGTTATAACTAGTAGTTAGATATGATATTAATTTCCATTGTCCTGACAACTTCTGACAGAATAGATTTAGAGCTTAGCATTGGGATATCTCAAAAATGATTTCCATCTTCAAAAGCAATTAAACAACTGAGCATGCTTAAAAAATTGTTTGAAGCTATCCATTTCTTAGTGCCACCTAATTATGTACCATGGCTTTCTTTTTAAGAGATGATAATGGTATATATGAAGCCACATTACTTTACCATGACCCTTTCCTTCTGTCTAAAGACTGTCAGTCTCCAAAAAAACTTGAAGTACAATTGAAGAAGTCTCAACTATAAATACATTTTCTAATCTCTCTCTTCCTTCCAAGTGCAATCAGGATGAAGTTGCCTGAGTCATTTGTAGCCATCTTTCTCTTCCTGATATGGCACTCAGTATCATCTGGTAATGTTATAACACGAAGTTAAATGGTTTTTTTTTTTACTTCGTTTTTCAGAATTTTAGCAGCATGTATGCTAGGATGTTTGATACTTGAGGGTGCATTTGAAAATTCACATAGGATAGGAAGACAATTGGATCTATTTTGATTTATTGTTATTTGATAAAAGGTGTGTTTGGTTCAAGTAATATTGGATGGGATGAGCTCCAACATTCCCATCTAATCCAATTTCTTAGACATGGTTTATTCAATAACTTCTGTAATCATATTCCACGCATACGATATTTGGATAAAGTTTGGAGTAAAGTGGGGTCTATGATCAACCTACCATTCTCATGTTTGGATCAAAAATTGGTATATTATAATAGAAGCGCTCTAACGTTTCATCCCACCTAGAGCGTGGTTTGACAACTTCAAATTTTGAGATGTCACGGATTATATGGTCATTTCACACCTAATACCAATGATATGTGAAATTATACTACCTTTTGCATGGGATTCTTCTGTACCATGTGCGTGATATTATTCATCATGTAGCACCAGGCTGATATTAACAAATTTAACTACAACCAGATGCTAATTAAGTCTCATTCCAAATCACGGTACTTGAACTAAATGCATCCCAAGTTGTGACTTGTGAGACTAACGATGGTTGTTAATATTTTAAAGATACTTCCACTACTTTTTAAATTGAATCTGGTTTTGCAGGAAATGGTGCAGCACAAGCATGCACATTCATTGTGAGAAACTCATGCCCCTTTCCAATATGGCCGGGGACTGCCCCAAACAAAGGTCATCCAGTGATAGCTAATGGAGGATTCTACCTTCCACCAGCCCATGTCTGGCAAATCCAAGTCCCAGGGGGTTGGAATGGTCGCATTTGGGCTAGGACTGGATGCAACTTTGCCTCCAACCGGAAGCCTGCCTGTGAAACAGGCGACTGTGATGGACGACTCCAGTGCAACGGAAGTATAGGCCTTCCTCCAGCTACACTAGTGCAAATTGCACTGCAGGTATAAAGATTAATGACATAAAGTTATTATACATGAAGCGTTACAAACATGACGTGACATAACACGGATTGATTGAAACCAAATTGTAGGCAGACCAGACCAAACCAAGTTACTACGACATCAGTCTCGTTGACGGGTACAACCTTCCTGTATCTGTCTCTACGGTCCCGGATGCACATAAATGCCACATCGGAGGGTGCCCGAAGGATGTGAAGGACATATGCCCAGGAGAGCTTATGGTATTGAACGACAATGGGGAAGTTGTGGCGTGCAAAAGCGCTTGCTTGGCTTTCAATCTCGACTCATTCTGCTGCAGGAATCAATATGGTAGCCCAGAGAAGTGCAAACCAAGTGTGTACTCACAATTGTTTAAGGATGCTTGTCCCTCTTATTACAGTTATGCCTTTGATACCCCACCACCACTGGTGAGTTGTGTTTCAAATAAATACGCAATAACTTTCTGTCCTTCAAAATGGGGCAGAGAATATGAGACTATGTAGAGTTAAACTGCCCTTTCTCTCATCAAATGTTACAGGGTTTGTTTCTTAATGGTATTTGGTTATGATTGAAGTACATGTTTATTGATCTTATTATTTTGTAGTAAAGGAATGTGACTTCCAATAGTAGGTGTTTTTTTTTTTTTTTTTGGGTTTAATGGTGAGGGGTATTTTGGTCAGTTTACTTGCACCTCGATTAATTCTCACTCTAGTTCAGTCAAAGACAAATCATTTACTTCGAGATTAAGAATTCATGAGGAATAAATTTATTATGGGTGACTCTAAAGAGTGACTAAAGGTTAGCACTGTTGTTAGAGTCCATTGTCATCTAATTTCCTGGCAATACTAACCAGAAAGTTCATGAACCTCTAAAGTTCAGTATTTTTCTCTCCATACAAGATTTAAGATAAAGTCTTATCATTCCCCTTTTCTTTATAATAGACTAGATTAATTGGCGTACATTAAAGTTATGCAGTGAATAAAGTAATTCAAAAAAATAAAAAAGAGGAAATAAGTGCATACAAATTAATGTTACTCATTCGGCTCATGTTAATAAGGTCATTTTTAATGGAAAAAGGAACAGAAGTTAATGAAATGAACAAATTATAACACTTTTAATACATTAAGGGTATAATATAAAAAAATTAATTTTTGAGAATATAAAATAAAAAATATTGAATCTTTTGGGGGTACAAATTAAGATTCTCCCTTTTTAGAAAAATTATCAGGGCTGACCCGATAAGTAAACCGTGGGTTGTAGATCTATTTCCAAGTTGGGTAGCCCGGTTCATTTGCCCAGGGATACGTCAAGAATACCCACCCACCGCTCGATTTAGGGTTTTTGGAGAGTCATCGCACATCAGATCTATGCCTATATAACAATCGCCTAAAGTTTGATAGGTAAGCACATGCTCCACAGCCTTCACTCCTCTCTCTCTCTCTCTGCCGATTTAGGGTTTTCGTTTCGGCCAATACAAGTTCACTTGTCTCTCTTACTCAATGTATCTGTCTCTTCGTTTATTGCTAGTAAGCTTTAACTTGTTTTTTCGTTTTGGTGATTTGAAATCATTTGATGAGAAAAAAAAACTGCAACAATATGATGGCTTAATCCCATGATTAGCTGTATTTAAGTCTCTGATGATTTCTACATATCTGGTTTAGCTCTATTGCCTTTATTTCTTTTTGTTTGAACTTTTTTTTCTAGTTAATTTTGTTTCCGAAATCTGACAAAATCAATTGATAAATGAAAATGAGGAGATGTGATGAGTAATATATTTGGTCCGTGTTTCAGATCTAACCGTGACCGATAAACCTTTACCAACCTCTGATCTCCCCTCTCTGTGATTTCATTAATAATTTTTTTTTTCGACTTTCGTTTTTACCGAGAATGTATTATTAGCTATCAATTGTGTTGGATCTTTAAGGGTTCGAGTTTTGAATCTTTGTTAATGTTTGTATTGATTGAATTTGTTTCAATTTGATTCATTCCAGCGGTGGTTAGCTAGCTGGCTCTGTGATTACTTGCCTGATTTATTTATTAGGCAATATACGCTATTCCGATTCAAGACATGAGCGGATAAATTTTGAAGAAGAATGAGAGCTATTGCTTGCTTGCTTGCTTGCTTGCTATTACTATTATTTTTTGTTATATTTGAAATTTATTGAATTCTCTGTTTTGTTTTGTTTTGTTTTGTTTTTGTGTAATTTATTTGTCACTTCTGCAATGATGATTTATGAATAAATTCACATGTCAGACTTCAGAGATTTTTTTTATAAAGAAAATCTATGAGAAGAAATTTCATGTGTTTCTGAGCAGCAGAATATCTCCTCCTTTTATGATGTCTATTTTTAGATATACACAAATCATATGAGTTTAGGCCTGAATCTGGGTTTTTACGTTACTGTCGGCGGCATGATTTTCCTAAAAAGGTTAAATTAAGAGAATGCTTGCGCAGAAGTGTATGACACTAATTGTCAAGATTGTTTAAAGTAAGTGTCGTAGGTTAATGGTCTGATTGGTAGGATGGAAACAAAAAAATGAATAAATGATACAAAGTGATCCTTCATTTCTCCCTCCCTCCCTCTTTTGTGTTTGTGTTGGGTAAGAAGGAATAGAAAGTAGAAATGATTGAATTTTTTGTAGGGTGAGGTTATTTGTATCCCGTAAAATTTAATTTTTATTCTATTTAATTTTTTATTATTAAATTATTGAGTTTATTCTTTTTATATACTCATTTCATTAACAACTAAGTCCATCGTATATTATATTCATCTTATTAATAACTAAAAAAAAAATGGACAAGTAAAAACAAAATGAGAAAAAAAAAAAAAAGAAACGAGTAAAACTGAAATAAGAAAAAGAAAGCAATCAAAGGCAAAAAGAACAAGTAAAGACTGAATAAACAAAATCGCAAGCAAAACCAAGATATAAAATTGCATACATATATATAAAAAAAACATATAAAATTTAAATAAAAAATTATTAAATTTGACAAAGATATTAAAACACACCAAAAACAATCAAAATCTACACAACACACGTGAAATCATATATATATATAATTAAATTAAAAAGTAATATTAATTTGTATATCATTAAAAAAAATTTATATTAAAAAAGTATTTTTATGGATATATGAAATGAGGTAGTGAATAAAATTTTAATTATGAGAAAATATAAGGTAGACATTATTAAATAGATGTGTATAGTATGGGTGAATTTAGTAGGTCAATAATAAAATATTAAATGAGGTGTGAAAAAATTTTTGTAGGGTGTGAATAGACGAATAGTGCCACCCTTTTTTGTATTTGGTTAGGGGAAAAAATATTTTTTTATAAATATAAATATATATTTTATCATTATACTACATATGAAATTAATATATAATAAATATGATATATAGACAAATAACATGTATTTTAACACATAATTATTTATTTATTTATTTTTTCTTTAAATTTTGAAATAATTGATTTTGATGAGTTAGAAGAAAAATTAATTTATTCATTTTTGAATTCTTTTTATTTTGTTTTCTTAACAAATATGATGTTTTATGATTTATCCCTTTAATTTTTCATTCTTTTAACTTTTTCATCTTTTTATTTTTTAATCGTACCAAGCGAAACATAAGATATAAGTTTGAGTTTTTCTACAATAAAAAAAATTATAATTTTTTAGGTCCATTTAAATTACAGCTTTTAGAAGAATTGGCATCAAAGATACATTCCTTTTTTTTTTAATTAATAAAGGAAGAACAGCTTTTGTACAAAAATTAATTTTTTTTTAAAAAAAAGTAAAATATTTTCTCATTGAAAAGAGACACCTAAAATAGACCTTTGAGTCATTCACACAAAAAATGCGTTTTGGAGAAAGGTATCTCACAATGATACAAAGTTGCTGGCGACCAGAACGTCCCCTATGCGACCGTTGTATTTGATAATTTTCCCACTTGTTGGAAGGTGGTCCATATATTTTAGAATTAAAAGCGGAAACGATAAATAATATTTTTTTTTATTTTTAATATTAATAATAAATTCAATTTTTATTTTTTAAATACAAAAATATTATTTAAATTTTTATATTTAAATTTTTGTTATTATATTTAAACTTAATGGTAAGAGAAAGAAAGAATGATTGAAAAATTATAATGATAAGTTTAAATTTGATTTTTTTGGGAGTTAAAATTAATATTTTTAGTAGTTTTTGTTTTACAGTTAGTTTTTATTTTTTTATTCAAAAAATTAAATTTTAGAGTTTTTTAATTTTACAACTGAATTAGTAGGTCTAATTTATTTAAGTTGAAAATTTTTGTTTGGACTATTATTATACACTTATAAATTATATAGCCTTCCTTGAAGTGACGTTTTAAATTTTATTTTTTTTGATTGAATTTGTGTTTTTATAAAGCCTTTTTGTACGGTTTAAAATATTTATAAATTTAATTTTTTTACATGAATTATTTAATGTCAATTATTTGATGCCTCAATAAGTCGAAAGGGTTACAGGCCCAAGGATGACTGAGTGTGATGTCAAGGGAGCCACCTTACTTTGCACTTCTCAGGCCAATTTAGCTACATTCTTATTGTTCCCCCCTTAACTTCTAACATGTTTACACTTTGACATACCAATTATTGTGAAATAAAGATCCACCTGTATGTAAACTATATTTCTGAATAACGGTAACAATTATCGTAATGATAATGGTAACGTGTGTGGGACATCCAAACGTTACGTAATAGTAACAAAAATTAACAAGATATCAGTATTCTTCTTTACGATATTCTCATTTTTTAGTTGTAAAATATCAAAATGTGGTGTGTAATGGTTGTTATAGTTGCGTTCGGTGGTGTAACGTTGTTGTAATGCCGGCGGCAGCCCATTACGTGTGTGAAAAATTTTTCAACTATTAAATCGGAGTGAAAATGATATCGGCAACCTCTGATAAAGTTACGTTTTGACGAATTTTCAAAACTATGAACTGTAAACCCATCTAGAAACTAAAGTCTTCGTCAATATGTGAAACGTGAAGCTCACCCACTTTTTCTTTTTTCCATTAATGGTGCGACTCTCACATGATTTGAGAGCATTTCCTTCCATATCATATCATCTTGTGTTTGCTTTTACCCCACACAATTGCTCTGTCACACTTTTGCCTGGAGGAGGGAAGCCTCTTTCTATAGACCCTTTTTTTTTTTTATATATATATTAGAGGTAATTTGTGTCTGAAAATACAGTGTAATATAAATATTTTTTATAGAAATTTTGGTGGCCGACAAATAAATTTATTTGAGACCGTTAGATAAACTTATTAAAGACAGTCATGTTTCGTGGCCGTTAAATGAATTTATTTGAGAATGTCAAATAAACTTATTAAACACTCTAGTATAATATTTTATAGATATAGCAACGTTGGTCAGGTGTGTAACGGTATATTTTTCAAAGCTAGGTGGAAAACTGCCTAAGACTCTTAAGGAATTACAATCACATCAGGATGTTTTTGAACCCACCACCATAGCAGGTTGTTTGTAAAACGTAGCAACAGGGTTTTCTTTCTCTGCATGTACTACACGCAATGCACCATCTAAATTAGTTTTTTTTTTTTTTTTTAATCTTTTCTGTTTGGACTCC